TATACAACAGTCAATTAATGCTAAATGACCTAGAAGAATGTACCTCCATCCTCGAACAAGAAAGAGATAACTTAGTACGGACAGTGTCCTCGCGCTCCCATGTCGCTCCTCTACTCCTCGATGCTGCCACAGTACCTTCACTAGCCGCACAGTCTTGCCTCGCAAAACCTGTTCCCGGCTATCCATGATGCGCACCGGTTCCTCCTCGAAAGTCCCATCAGCATCAACAACAAGCTCTCCCCAATCCACCACATGAGTCGGAGTGGGGTGTACTTCCGAAGCATAGAGACATGGAATACTGGCATGAACATGCGATGCTAGATTGCCACAAAAGCAAACGGGAAGAAGAAGATAAAATGGGAAAACAGGCGTATAGCCCTAAGGAGGAAGGGAAACAGAAAAACTGGGATTTTGAAGAAAGGTCAAGACCTCAAGGGGAAGGAAAAGGAATGGCAGAAAGTTACAAGAAAAGGGGGTCCCAAAGTAACCGTGGAGGAGGGTCACCAAGTTCCTAATAGTTTATTGTATCCTAATGGCTTAAGTGAAGGAGTTATTGCGGCTAATAAATTCAATGTGCTAAACGGGGATCACTCGGGCAAGGATGTAGGAGAGGAGGAAAATGCTGAAATGGAGAATCATAACGGTACTCCAATAATTGAAAATAGCACCACTGGAGGATTAGAAGCAAAAGAAAAAGAGGACTGTCCCTCTCAACGTCTAATCATGAAGGAATTCAAGGAGTAGGAGTGGAAAATGAAATGTCTTCAAATGCAGGAAGTCCATCACGGAGCTTTGAGGGCATGAAGGTCTACGAGGTTATCGACACTCCCTCTCAAACTCAGGGGACAGGGCCTGATGAGGTGCAGCAAACGGTTGGTATAATAGTGTGATTATTGAATAAACAATCTCTTTCTTCTACCTCTTCTTCCTTCCTTGTGGATCATTCATACGAGCCTAGAGGAAAACAAATTTGCACCGTAGATGATGATAATGGGCTGATAAGGGACAAAGAGCCACCAGACAAGGGCTTTTACTCTGACCAAGAAAGCTCAGAGAACTGGGTTGATTTAAGTGAGGCTGCCTTTGGTCCAATGGTACTCCTTGCCTTGTGAAAGCTTTGCCTTCTTGAGGTCAAGGGTTCAAGTCCCCCTTCCCCCTTACCTCCCCAAAAAAAAAAAAAGTGAGACTGCTGCTGATGATGAAATTCAGGGAATGATCCTGCTTAATCAAGTTTTAGAGAACATTTCTAACTCCAGTACTGGGGGTAGTCCCAGAGGTAATGCTGAAACCACTTCTTTATGATGAATTTTATTATGTGGAATGTAAGGGGAGCTGGGAAAGAAAGCTTAAGAAGCAGATTAAAGAAATTGATTGTGATGAACAAGGTTAGTCTACTGGCCGTTATTGAACCAAAGATGTCTACAACGAAATTAAGAAATTTTGGTCTTGCTGTGGGGTTAAATTCTTATATGGCAAACACAATGGCAGAGAAAAATATGTGGTTACTATGAAATGACAACTTGGAAGTAAAGAAAATGCTGGACTTTGAACAAGCAATGACTGTGTCTATCTCCTACCAGGGTGGTGATCCTGTTTTGATAACCGTGGTGTACAGATGTTGTGAGTATTTGTTAAGAAGACCTCTGTGGGAGCACCTAAAATTTATCTCTGCATCTTTTGATATGCCCTGGCTGGTTATGGGGGACTTTAATATTGTGATGAGATCAAATGAAAGAATGGGGGGGGCTTCTCCTTCAGTGTTGGCAATGGATGAATTTGGGGAATGTATTCAATCGGAGGGTCTTATTGACTGTGGTTATGGAGGGAATAATTTCACTTGGTGTAATGGTCATCATGGAGGGACTAGAATGTGGCAAAGGATCGACAGAATGTTTATCAACACGGAATGGAATGCCAAGTTTCAGATTTCTCAGGTCATGCATTTGGCAAGAGGATGCTCTGACCATTGCCCCATGTTGATCAAGATTGTGGAGAATGATGGCCAACAAAGAATTTCTTATTTCAATTTTCTGGATATGTGGGTTGAGGATTAGTAGCATGCAATTGGAGTGGAAGTTACGCAGGGAACCCAATAGAGAATCTCTTTCTCAAACTGAAAATGCTTAAGCTCAAAATCAAAAAGTGGAACAAGGAGGTTTTTGGAAATATTTTGAAAAGATTAATAAACAAGAGTTGGCACTGAGGGAGGCCGAAAGAAGTGTGGATGATAACTACTCGGAGGCTACTGTTTCTAACTTGGAAGCTGCAAGAAAGAATTTAGAGGACACCCTTAGATTGGAGGAAATGTACTGGAGACAAAAAGCTAATGCTAAATGGGCACTACAAGGGGAGAGGAACACCAAATTTTTTCACGCTTTGGCCAAAGGTAAGGCTATGAGGAATAGATTGTTGAGAATTAAAGGTGAAGATGGGGAATGGTGTGAATCTGAAGAGGAAATTGCTCAAAATGCCGTTTCTTTTTTTGAAAACTGTACAAAACAGAAGACCATAGACTTGATGATGAGTTATTTGGGGTCATTCCTAAGCTTGTTGGACTAGGGGATAATGAGAAATTGACTATGGCTGCTACCTCCCTAGAATTGAAACAGGTTGTCTTCTCTATGTTTGTGGAAAGTGCTCCTAGAGCTGATGGATTTTCTGGTAAATTCTTCCAAGTTGCTTGGGAAATCGTAAAAAATGACCTGTTGGAGGCAGTTAACTTTTTTTGGGTGGGGGAGAGGTCCCAAGGTCTGTAAATTCAACTCTCCTTGTTTTGATCCCTAAAGTGGCAAAGCCTAGCACTTTTACAGAGTTTAGGCCGATAAGCCTCTGCAATTTCCTGTATAGTCTTTACCATGGTTCTCTCCAATAGACTTGTTGTCCTTCTTCCTTCTCTGATCTCTAATGCACAGCATGGCTTTGTCAAAGGGAGAGGGATTGGAGATTGCATCTCATTAGCTCAGTTAATGGTTGGAGAACTTGATCGAAAGGTTGAGGCTGGCAATGTGATTCTAAAATTGGATATGATGAAGGCGTACGATCGCATTGAGTGGGACTTTCTACAAAAAACTTTAGAATGCTTTGGCTTTTCAAATCTACTTGTCTCTATCATTGGCAAATGCTTGAAGAATCAATTTTTCTCGGTTTGCTTGAATGGGAAAAGATTTGGGTATTTTCCTTCATCTAGAGGATTGAGACAAGGTGACCCGATCTCCCCAGCTCTCTTTATTCTAGCAGAGGAAGTGTTAAGCAGGGGCTTGACGAGGCTGTACGGTGATGGTAGGATCAAGGCCTTTCATGCAGAAAGGGGTGCTCTTCTTGTTTCTCATCTGTTTTTTGTAGATGATACTCTGCTGTTTCTTAAGGGAAATAAACTCTCCATGGAACGAATGATGAAGTTTTTGACTAGATATGAGAATAGCTCTGGGCAGAGAATAAACAAGCATAAAAGCTCTTTAATTTGCTCGTCCAAAATTCCTGGGGGCAGGAAAATGGCTTTATCCAGAATTGCTCAAATTCCGATTAAAAAGTGTCCCTTCATCTACCTGGGCTGTCCAATGATAAAAGGAAGATATAAATTGCAGGATTTTGAGGATGTGATACAAAAGTTCAAGGCAAAACTAGAAGGGTGGTATGCATGCCTGCTTTCTAATATGGGTAGAATTGTGCTCATTCAATCGGTTCTCAATGCGATTCCTATTCATTTACTCTCTTGTCTAAGCGTACCCAAAGGCATCCTTGCGAAGTTGAAGTCATTAATGGCCTCTTTCATGTGGTCTGGCAGAATGGGTGAGAGGAAAAGGCAATGGGTTTCATGGTCGGATATTTCAAGACCGAAGCAAGAGGGAGGTCTTGGAATTCGAAAATTTGAAGACATTCAAACGGCTTTTAGATGGAAGCAGGTGTGGGGAATTCTTAAGGGTGATTCTCTTTGGGCGAGCACGTTTAAAGCTAAATTCTTAAACGGTAAACATATGTTGAGGTGTCAGGGTACTGGTAAATCTCGTACATTCCGTATGCTGCAACCTTTCTTTAGATCGGTCATGGATAACTCCAAGGTTATGGTGGGGAATGGGAGGTTTGTGGATTTTTGGTGCTCGAACTGAACTGGATCTGGTCCTTTTCTGCTCAGGTATGGCGTCTCTCCCTTGTGCTTTCCAAGTCTGGATGCGTTATGGGCAGGTGGGGATTGGCAGTGGCAGCTTTTGGGGGTCCAGGTCTCTGATCAATTAAAGCATGAAATCCAAAATTCTGGGGTTAGAATATGCGAAAAGGAAGATCGTCTGATATGGACTTTAACCGAGTCTGGAGAGTTCAATGTAAAATTTGCTTGGCAAGCGGTGAGATCTTCGAATGACCCTGTGCCTATTGCCTCTGCGCTCTGGAACCAATCTGTCTTCCCAAGTGCAAAACTGCTGGGTTGGAAGATTCATCTGAAAGCCGTGTTAGTGGACTCAAATTTCCAATGAATTGGCGTTGAATTGGCTAGTAGATGTCCCCTGTGTCGTATGGATGTGGAATCTTCCCCTCACCTGTTCATACAGTGTGGTTTCGCTAAAGAGGTCCGGGGGAAGCTTGCTGCATTATGCGGCTTTCAAATTTTTTGCAGCTGATTCTCCTATGGTTCGTATGATGAGACTTATCAGAATATTTAAAAAACACACTGTTAGTCATAACCTGTTAAGAGGTGTTTCATTAGTGGTATTTTGGAGGTTATGGAGGGAGAGGTGCAGAAGGTTTTATGAAGGTATATCCCTCTCAGCCCATGCTGTGTTCCTTGATATTTGCTCTTCTTTGCGTCTCCAGGCTTATGGCGTTAGACCGCAGGCAATGGAAGGCATGACGGGTATGGATTTATTGAGGACTTTAAAGGTGGATATGAGGCATAAGCTAAGACCAAAGATCATTTGGGTCGACTGGTCCCCTCCTCCTTCTGGTTGTTTAAAGCTAAATGTGGATGGGGTATCGAAAGGTAATCCTGGAAGAGCCGGGGGTGGAGCTGTAGTAAGGAATGAATGGGGGCACTTAGTGTTGGCTGCTTCATTTTTCTATGGGGTTTGTTCTAATATGGAGGCTGAGCTGCGTGCTCTTAAGGATGGTTTATTATTGTATAAAAGTTATGGGCTATTAGACTATGCCCTCCAAATTGAAACTGACTCGGCGACTATGGTCCAAATGGTGTTAAAAGGACACAAGAGGGCATGGAAGTTCTGGAAGATTTGCGACGAGATCATGAGTTTATTGGAGGGCATGACTTTTAGTCTGGCTCACGTGTATAGGGAAGCGAATTACTTGGCTGATTGTTTTGCTAACCTCGCTGCTTTAGAACCTGCCTCTGAGGATTTCTCACAAGATTTGTTGATTCCTCTCCACGCCAAATTAATTCAAAAGCAGGATCGACAAGGAGTTAAAGCACCAAGGAAAAAGTTGGATAATCTTTGATTATTTGCTTATATCATGATTCCATTTCATGAGCTGGGGGGATTACCTCAGATGGAGCTCTTTGTTCTTGCTTGGTATTTGGCAGCTTTTTCTCATCATTGCAGCTGTGGGGAATATCCAGCTGTTTGTTTGCTGATTTGGGCAGGCGTGCACTGTTCACATAACTGTTCACGTGAACTCCTTGGTGGCTGCTGCTATTGGCTTCCTCTCAGCTGTTGGTTTTTCACGGTTCTGTTCAGCTTCATTTCTTCGCTGTCCAAGTCTACTGTTCACGTGAACAGTCTGATTCCTGCTCTGCTGAATTTTACTGATTTCCAGCTGGTTTTCTTCTGCTACTTCAGCTGGATTTCCAATTGGTTTCTTGCTCGTATGAGCCACTCAGCTGGCCTCTCTACTGTTTTTTGGGTTTGCAATGAAGGAGTGCTGGGGGCTGTGAGGTTCTGTTTTTTTCTGGCAGCTTGATATTTGGTCTATCTTGGCGGTCTTGGCAGCACTATTTTTCCTATGCAGCAGTGGGTTCTGGTCAGAAGGGGACTGTTCAAGCGACTGTTCACGTGAACTGTGCAGATGCTGCTGCAGCTGATTTTTCAGCTGTTTTATTTGATTGCTTCCTCGGTTCCTGCTGCTGCTCTTCTTTTTGAATTTTCTGGCTTTCAGCGGGCTCCCAGCTGGTTTCTCTTATGGTTTTACTGCTGCCTTTTCTGATGAATTTTAGCTGCCTTTTCTGCTCTTCCTTTTGCAGCTGCTTTTCATGCGTCTGTTCACCTGATTACAGCTGGGCTTCCAGCTGGTTTTCAAATTGATTTCCAGCTGGATTTTCAGCTGCTGTTCAGCTGGTATTAATGTCACTTTTGTGCCTTCTGCTGCTCTCTATGAAGGTGTCTGTTGCAGCTGTGGGTTTTGGTTTGTTGGGCACTGTTTACGTGCTTTGTTTGGTTGCTGCTGCTGATGGGGCATCTACGGTTATGGCTCACAGGCTGCTCAGCTGGACTTTCAGCTGGTTTGGGTGATGCTGTGGGTTTTCTCAGCTGAATTCTTCAGCTCTCTTCCTTATCTCACTCTGTTGCCTTTTATTGATCAAGGATGGACTGTTTTTGCGCCATCACATGGTCCAGTCTCTGCTCACCAGTTCTGTGCAGCTGGTTTCAGTTCTGGTTGAACGCTGCAGGGGTTCTGGTTCTAGCTTGATGCTGCACTGGTTATTTAATGGTGCTCTTCGGTTTCAGCTCCGCTGGACTTCCAGCTGGTTTTAATGTTTCTCCAGCTGGATTTTCAGCCGTTTTTCATGCTTTTGCGCCATTCAGCTGATCCCTTGCGCCTTTGGCTTATGTAGAAGTTTTTCTTTGCCTTTTATTTTGTAGGTTTAAAGCCAACTACGACTTTTCCTTTGCTATTAAAGCTTTGTCTCTTTGCTTCTTGTAATCTTGGTTTTTATCAATGGCATTTGTCTTTTTTACCAACAAAAAAAAAAAAAAAGGGTTTAGGGTTTAGCCAGCAAGGCAGTTCATTTGTTTTTAGTGAGAGAAGCTCCTCCTTCTCTCTTGTTTTTTTCCTTTATTTTCTGCGAATTTTCTTTGCTTTTTCTAGCTGATCTGATCATCAATTTTGACTTCTGGTCAAACCCGAAGGCAAATTCCACCTAAGCCACCGGATTTTACAAAGATTTCTACTTTAGCCCCAAAGACCTCGTTGACTTCATTAACCCCTTTGAAATCGGTACAGTTTGCCGATTCTAATCAGGATGAGGCAATGCTTCTGGATCAAAGCAGGACAACGCCAAAACTCTTGGTATGCCCTCTGTAATTCCTTCGCTTCAACCTAGATCGAATATAACCAAAAATTTCGCATCCCCTTTTAAGAAACCCTCATCTTCCTCGTTGCCTTTGTGCTCTTTATTTCCTTCGGTCCCTTCGAGTTCCTCAGAACCTTCAGTCCCTCTAACGCTAATTGATGGGTCGTCTTTTCCGGTCCCCTCTGCATCTTTAATCCGGCCAGCAAAACGGGTGGTTTATTGTTCTTTTTTGCTTCTTTTGCTCCACCTCCTCGTCATTCTTCTCTTATTTTTTTCTCTTATTATTTTTTGTTAATCTTTAGATTTTCATATTTATGTGCGTAACAAATCTATTTTGTGTTTTGATTTCAGTTGTTTGTGGAATGGATGTTTGCTTATGAAGGATTAAGAAGAGTTGTACGAGATAAATTTGCAAAGCGAGTTTATGATTGAAAAGATAAGTATATCTATTCGTCTTTGATCCATTGACTTTCTTTTATATGTAAAATGTGTTTTACACATGACTATTTTACTTGTTTTTGTGTGTCTTATTTGTTATGATAATTATTTCTATTATTTTTATCCCCCAAATCTCCTACAATTTTCTTTTCATTTTTCGTTGTTGTTTTCTTGTTTTTACACAACCTATTATTGCATCGAATTTCTTTGATTATATGTGTTTTGTTGGCTTTTCTATTTTAGAAATTATTTTTTATTTCTTTTTTTATTATCTTTCTATTAAAATTGTTAAATGTTGGAAACAAAGTTGAATTATTTGGAGAGATAGCAAAAAGATAAAGTATGAAAGAACATTAAGAGTTTGTAGCATGTAGAAGTAACTAATAGAATATAGAAGTCAAAGAGAGCTCAGAGCTTAAGGCTTGGGGCATAGGTTTTTTTGGGGTTTTGGGTTAAGGTTTAGGGGTTTAGGTGCTAGGGGTTAGGGGTTATGGGCCTAAGGGATAAGAGTTAAGGGTTAGAGGTTTAGGGGTTAGGGATTTGAGTTTATTCTTCTTTTGCTTCTTTTGCTCCACCTCCTCATCATTCTTCTCCTATTTTTTTTTCTTATTGGTTTTTGTTATTCTTTAGATTTTCATATTTATGTGCGTAACAAATCTATTTTGTATTTTGATTTTAGTTGTTTGTGGAATGAATGTTTGCTTATGAAGGATTAAGAAGAGTTGAACAAGATAAGTTTGCAAAGCGAGTTTATGAGTGAAAAGATAACTATATCTATCGTCCTAGATCTATTGGTTTTCTTTTATATGTAAAATATGTTTTACACTTGACTATTTGTACTTATTTTTGTGTTTCTTCTTTGTTATGATCATTCTTTGGTGGTCTTTTGGAAATTATGGAGGGCGCGATGTAAAAGAATCTATGATGATAATGCTCTAAATGCCCATGCCGTGTGTTTGGAAGTCTGTTCAGCTCTTAGGCTGCAAGCTCATGGTATTAAACCCAAAGCAACCGAAGGAATCATGGGCACGGAGTTTTTGAAGGCTTTAGAGGTTGAGGTGAGGTATGAGCTGAAACCGAAGATTGTTTGGGTCAACTGGTCTCCTCCTATTCCTGGTTACTTAAAACTAAATGTAGATGGGGCATCAAAGGGCAATCCAGGTAGAGCTGGGGGTGGCGCTGTGGTTAGGTATGATTATGAGATATATAAATTTTGTGACAAGTTGATATTTATTTGGACTCCTATTTTTAGAGGAAATTCCGTTAGAATTTTTTATAAAATTAGCAAAACCCATATTGAATTCAATTTCTCTTATTCAAGCAATGGAAGGAGAAATGTTCCAAATCAACTACTTTTTTTTATGTTAGATGGTATCTTCAGGCACCGGTTGTCTATAGTTTGGACATTGTTGGTATTGCATTAGGTTTTGTGTCATTTTGGGTTTAGTGTTTAGAGTTTAGGGTTTTAGGGTTTAGAATTTAGGGTTTAGGTTTAGTCAAGGGCAGTTATTGTTTTTCTAGTGAGAGAAGCTCTCACCACTCTCTAGGTTTTCTTTGCTTTTTCCTGCATTCTTGATCTTTATGCTTTGTTCTGCGCATTTATTATGACTGCTGATCAAAATCAGGGTCAAATCCCTCCTAAGCCACCGGATGTTTCCCTTATTTCCATCACAACCCCCAAGATTTCTTTAAATCCTTTAACCCAGTCAACATCGGCACACTTTACCGATATTGTTCAGAATGGGGCAAAAGCTTCAACAACGTTGCAAGATGTCACAAAGAACTCTTGTATGCCTCCTACAAACCCGAATCTACAATCTACAACAGATATTGCAAAAATCCTTCCACAATCGGTGCAATTGTCCGAGTTAGGCAGATGGTGCAAATGCTTCAGGATCGCAACAGGTAATCGCAAACTCCTGTGGTATCCTCCCCAAAAATCCCAATCTCCAACCCGGATCTGATATTACAAAAAATTTTGCTCCCCTTTTCAAAAAAAACCCCATCAACTTCGCCTCCTTTGGTGTTCATTTTTCCTTCGGCTCCTTCGAGCTCTTCGGATACACAGTCTCCACAGCCGATTGAAGGGGTCTCCTCTCCAATGCCTTCAGCATCCTATTTTAGGCCAGCCAAACGGGTGGTTTTCAATAACGGGGAACCTGGGATGTATTGGTCTTCTGAGGAAACTCAAACTCTCTCAAAGAAGTTCCACCAGACCTTAATAGGAAAATGCGCATATGGTTAACCATCAGTTGGTGTTATCAAGGAATTCATCACTACCAGATGGCTCCTGAAAGGCAACTTCACTGTCGGGGTCTTGGATCCAAGACACGCATTGATTACAATGAGGATTACGTCAAGACATGGTTAAAGGATGCTGTGACACCCCAAAATCTGGGGGTCCGTTGATTCCCCTTCAACCCGTGGATACCGAGTAATTTGATATCACGCCATTATGCGCCATTTACTGGAAACCATAATTTTTTATGAAATTCGGGCAGAGTCTCCTTTGTACGGGGAGCTCTGCCAAAAACTCAACCTGTGCAATCATATAATAACAAGACCCATCCGAGGTCCAATATTCAACAATGACCACACCGGGTCCAATTATCCATATTTATATCAACACATGCAAAGTTAGTTTAACAATAGTCTATATAAGTTCTATTACAATTATTTGTAAAATATTACATGTCCAAAACATTATTTCCACAAATGTTTTACATTATCACAAAATAAAGCCACATTCGGCTTTCTTCAAACATGAGGGTCCAAATTGGAGCCATCTACCGATGTATCTCTCCCACCTGAAATGTTTTGCAGTATAAGGTGAGCTAACGCCCAGTAGAATAATCCCTCTAGAGGCTACTCTCCACCTTAGATGCATATGTGGTGTATATAAGCAACAAACAACATTTAATAATCATTCCATACAAGAATATGCATTAAATGTGGAATGTAATCATGTCATGCCATGAAATGAGATGATGCTCACTCATACACTTAAACCCAAGTCATCATCGACTCCCACGACACAATGCAATGCCAAGGTATACTGAATCCGTCAATTGACGAAAAAATTCACCAAATGATCGTTTGAAATAAAAGTTGTTTTATTATAAAACCAAATCATTAATGGGTGTTACTCATTATATGAGTATTTTATAAATCAAAATCTTGTGTCTTGTTGGGCAACGAATTTTGGATTTTATACCGCCGGTTCCGTACACCATACTACACTTTTTTGGAATTTCACTACAGGGGAATGTATAACCAAGTCGCCGAGTCTTGCACCCGAGGGGGGAATCTACCCCTTCTTGCTATACCCGACACAAGTTTTTCTTTCATGCAACCATGTGACTCATTCAGATTTTCAACCTAACTTTTTCGAGTCTACCCATTAATCACCAAGAATGGTGTTTAATTAACCATGCATACACACATCCACACTCATGACTCATGCTCATGAATGTGATGCCAATTCCTTGTTCATATTGCAATGCATGCCAAAGGAACAATTTTTACACATCAATGTCTACCATGGCGATTTATATCATATGCTAATAATCCCCATAATTTCATCACAATGTCAAAACATCAACTAGCATGTGTCAACATTTATATTCAACACAATTGACAAGCATGTTATCACATAATCTATGTCAAAAACACACTTAATTTAAAAGACAAAATATAGCACATATTTCAGCCCACAAGAAAATCAACCCATAGTGGCCCAAAATTTAGCCACTAAACCGCCCCAAAATAGGCCCCAAAATAGCCCCAAAGTAGGCCTTAAAACAGCCCCAAAAACAGTCTGTATACAGCCCCTAATTAGTGCACAAAACAGCCCCAATTTCAGCACCAAAACAGTCCGTAATTCAGCCCCTTAACAGTCCAAAATTCAGCCCCTTAACAGTCTATTTGGACAGCCCACATATAAACCATTTTCAGCCACTAAAAGCCCACTTAAGGTAAGAATAAAACCAAGGTAGGAGCGAACCCTACCTCTTGTAGCGTGTAAGAAGTGGTAGAACTTCTAAAAAACACCAAAACAAGCCCAAGAACCTTTGATTCCTCCAAAGTCTTTTCTTTGCACCTTCGGTGAAATCCACTTTTCTTGGTACGTACACGTAACCCTCGTCGAGGAGATGAACTTTGATTCTTGACTCGACGAATTCCGACCGACGAAACTCCGAGAATCTTGGATTGAAGCTTGAAGAACTTACTTGTTTTTCTCTCTTTTCATTCTCTTCTCTCTATGGCCGGCCAAGGGTCAAGAACATGAGATATTTTTTCCAAAATATTTAAGTCAAGTAGGTATTTATAGTCCTGAATGTGTGGTCCACATCGCACCGCATATTTCAGACTTCCGGGTCCGTTTTTCGTTCCGAAACGATTTGTTATACCTCAGATTTAGTTAAAATTAATTGTATTGGAACTTTAACTTGATTTTAAGAAAAAAATTAAAAAATTCATTTTTGGGGAACTTTAAAATGTCATTCGCCTCGTAGTTGCCTTGAACAACGTGCAAAAAATCGTCTATCTCGAAATTCGACGAAATTTGACAGGGTGATTAGATTTTGCGATACGAATCCAACGGCGAACTTCGTTTCCTCAACCGAGGTCTAGAACATGAGTATTTTAAATACGCATTAGGATGACAAATTACCATTTTACCCTTTCTAAGAAAAAGTTCAAATTTTCCCGAGTTTCACAGATGCAACACACATCGAGGGCTTCTTGTTCAGGTTCTTCAAGTGGTTTTCGGAGTTCCTGCCTGGGATTGAACCACCAGTGGTTCCTATTTGGATTTCTCTCCCAGGTTTGCCAATTCACCTCTTTGATAAGGAGAGCCTTCGGGACATTTTGAGTCCCATCGGGAGAATCCTTGTAATTGACTCACCCACCCTCCTATTATCTAGGCCAGGTGTGGCTAGCGTATGTGTCGAAGTTAATTTATTAGCTGATAACCCATCTCGTCTTTGGCTGGATTTTGGCGGAACAAGTGGGCGTTGGCAAAAGATTAATTATGAAAAATTGGTGAAGTATTGTGCTGGGTGTTTGAAAGAAGACCATGGGATGCTCGAGTGTCGTAAAGGCAAAAGGGAAGAGGAAAACAAAGTGTACAAACAGGCATACAACCCTAAGGAGGAAAGAAAGCAGAAAGCTGGCATCTCGAAAAAAGACGAGGACCTTAAGGGGAAAGATAAGGCATGGCAGAAAGTCACAAAAAAAGCGAATTCCAAAGTAACCGTGAAAGAGGGTCACCAAGCACCACAGTTCTCGAATCCTATAAATTTAGATGTAGGAGGAGAGGAGGATGCCCAGTGATTTTTGGTGCACGAACTGGGCAGGATCTGGCCCTTTATTGCTCAGGCACGATGTCTCCCCCTCGAGCTTTCTAAGTCTAGATGCGATATGGGCAAGAGGGGACTGGTAGTGGCAGTTATTGGGAGTCCAGATTTCTGAGCAATTAAAGCACGAAATCCATAAATCTGGGATTCGTTTATGTGGCAAAGAAGATCGATTGATATGGAAATTAACCGAGTCGGGAGAGTTCAATGTCAAATCAGCTTGGCAGGCGGTGAGAACTTCAAATAACCCTGTACCTATAACCTCTGCGATCTAGAACCAATCTGTCTTTCCAAGTGCAAAACTGCTGGGATGGAAGATACATATGAAAGCTATGGTGGTGGACTCAAATTTCCAACGTATTGGCGTTGAATTGGCCAGTAGATGCCCTCTATGCCATCAGGAAGTGGAAACTACGACTCACCTATTCACACAATGCAACTTTACTAAAGAGGTTTGGGGGAAGCTTGCTGCCTTTTGTGGACTTCAGATTTTCTCGGCTGAATCTCCCATGGTTCGTATGATGAGGTTGATTAGAATTTTAAAAAAAAACTCTGTTAGCAATAACCTATTAAGAGGTACTTCACTGGTGGTCTTTTAGAGACTATGGAGGGAGCGATGCAGAAAAGTCTATGAAGATATCTCACTTTCGGCCCATGCTGTTTTTCTTGATATTTGCTCCTCTTTGCGTCTTCGGGCTTATGGTACTCGTCCCGAGGCAAAGGAAGGCATGATGGGGATGGATCTTTTGAGGGCCTTAAAGGTGGAGATGAGGCAGGAACTGGAACCAAAAAATATTTGGATTAACTGGTCCCCTCCTCCCTCCGGTTTTTTAAAGCTAAATGTGGATGGGGCATCGAAAGGAAATCCTGGAAGAGCTGGGGCTGGAGCTGTGGTAAGGAATGAATGGGGGCACATTGTCTTGGCTGCTTCTTTTTTCTATGAGGTTTGTTCAAACATGGAGGTTGAGCTTTATGCACTCAAGGATGGTTTATTGTTGTTTAGAAGTTATGGGCTGTTAGACTGTGGCCTTCTGATTGAAACTAATTCAGCGGTGATGGTACAAATGGTGATGAAAGGGCACATGAGGGCCCGGAAGTTTTGGAAGATTTGTGATGAGATCATGGAGTTATTGAAGGGCATGAATTTTAGTTTGGCTCATGTATACAGGGAAGCAAATTGCTTAGCTGACTGTCTTGCAAACCTTGCTGTTTTGGAGGGTGCCTCTTCGGATTTCACACGTGATTTGAAGATTCCTTTCCGGGCAAAATTAATTCAGATCCAGGATCAACAAGGTGTTAAAACGTCAAGGAAAAAGTTTACTAATTTTTGATTCTTTGGTTTTTACTTATGAATCATCCAATCGGGCTGGGCCTTTTGTTTCTCATTGCTTGGCTTCTCGCAGCTGGTGTGTTTGCTTCCTTTACCCTGCTGGGAAGCTTTGGCAACATTTGTACATTAAATGCAGCTGGGGGGGACATTCCGGTGGCTTTTTTGCTGTTTTTGGTCATGGAGTACTATTCACGCGACTGTTCACGTGAACAGTCTGCTTCCTGCTGCTGGCGGTTTTTCTCAGCTGACCTCTACTGATATTGCAGTTGCTGTGGTGATTTTCAACTGGTTTTGGTCATGACACACTGTTCACGCTACTGTTCACATGGACAGCCTGTTTGCGGCTACTGATGGGCTCTTTCAGCTGGTTTTTTCTGGATCTCAGCTGGATTTTGTGCTGATTTCAGCTGGGGATCGTGGCTCATTTTGTTGCTACAGCTGGTTTTATCAGACTTTATCTTTGGTAAACATTGAAGGCTTTCCACGGTTCTGCTCAGAGGGTTTTCAGCTGGATTTCCAGCTGGTCTCAACGGGTTTCCAGCTGGTTTTCCATGATTTCTTTGTGGTTCTCTGCTGGTTCTTATGGGCTCCACTTGCTGCTGTGATTGCTGTGCTGTTTTGATGGTGTCAATGGTTCATGTCCACAGCTTTCTTGTCGCTGCTGCTGGCCACCTCTGGTATCTTTTTCTTCAGCTGGTTTTGCTGATTTTCTCATGGTCTCTCAGCGGTTCTTTCATCTGCTTGACGCTGGCTATTGGTCTGCTGCTGTGGGTTTCTCTGTTGCTGCTTCCTTCGGCAGTCAGCTGGGGATTTGTTCTCAGCGGGCTCTCAGTTGCTGTGTTGGTTCTGGGCTTATGTTCATTCCTCATGGTTTTCATCATCTCGCAGTTGCTGTCTCTTGGGTTTCCAGCTTTCCTCCAGCTGAATTTTCTGGATCTTCAGCTGGACTCTCAGCTGGCTTTTGCTGGCCTTCATGTCCCATTTTATGTCCTTTTCTTTTTTTGATGGTTTATGCCACATTGGCTTCCTTGTTTTTGTTAAAGCCCGGCTTCCTTGCTTCTTGTAATTTCTGCTCATTTCAATATATCCTCCTTTTTTTCAAAAAAAAAAAAAAAATAGGGTTTAGGAAAAGCATGGGAGAGTGTGGTGAATGTTGGAATATTTGGGTCGCCGGAGTTGGACTCCAGAGAGAAAGGGAGGAGACAAATTGTTAGAGCAATTACTGAGATACC